ACCACTTATCAATCCCCGGCCCTTGAGTCTTGTCTTAGAAAGACCCTGTCTCAAAAAAAAAAAAAAATTAAGAATGGGTTAGAGATGTAGCTCAGTGGTAGAGTGTCCCTGGGGTTTGAGCCCTTAGTCCTGCTAAAAAAAATAAAATAAAATAAAAAGATATGAAAAGACTGCAAAACCAAAAGGAGAGAGAGAGAGAGAGAGAGGAACTAATCCAAAGGAAGGAATCAAGAAAGAGGAGAAAATGGAAAGACAGATAACATAAATTAAAACAGGATATACATAGTGAGATCCTGTCTCAAAAGTTTTTTTTCAAAAGCAGGACAATGACAGATAAAAAACACACAAGTAATTACATTAAAGCCTACATTAAATGTAGAAGGCTAAATCTCCAATTGAAAGAATATGGTAGCTGTATCAGATGGCCCATGCCTGTAAACCCAGCTACTCAGAAGGCTGAGGTAGGAGGATTGCAAGTTTGAGGCCAGCTGAGGCAATTTCTCGAGACTGTTATGGCTTTATTTAGATGTTCTCCCAAAGTCCCATGCAGTCATAGGTAGGGCCTTTTGGAGGTGGCTGGATCTAGAGTGTGTGCTTCTGGAGCCAAAATGTGATGCTAGGATTGATTCCTTGGTGCAGCTGCTAGGATTAAGGCTGCCCCGTCCTCGGTATGAGTGCTGCCTATACTCAAGGGACAGAAAGAGGGTCACTGCTTGTTGCTTGTGACTTGTGGATTTCTGCCTTCTGCCTGCCATGAACTGTTTCTCCTCTGCGATGCCCCTCTGCTGTGCCACCCTGCCTCGGAGTCAGCTGACTATGACCTGAAACTTCTACAAATTGTGAGCCAAAAACACCTTTCCTTCTTTAACTTTCAGTGTCCCAGCAACGAGAAAAGGAACTAAGACAGGGTCCCTGTCTCAACGTAAAATAAAAAGGGCTGCAGATGTAGCTTAGTGGTAAAATGCTTGCCTAGCATGTGTGAGGGTCTGGATTCAGTGAAGACGGAGGGAGCAAGAAGAAGGAGGGTGGAGAAAATGATAAAGAAGAAAAGAGGAGTAGGGGAGAAGGAGGCTATGACAGCCAGAGAGGCAAAACCCAGACTCCACTATATACTGTTCACGAAAGACACACCTTAGATATAACGGTACAGGAAGTTAGAAGTATAAGGATGGGGAAATACACCATGCAAATGCTAACAGAAAAAGATTTTTTTTAGCTTATATCACAAGAAAATAGTTGTAAATTATTTCTGCCTAAAAACAGAAAAAATACCAACAGAATCAAAAAGGGAAATACCAATCCTCAATCATAAAGGAAAAAATTGTGTGCATTGGGACATTTAACACATTTGACAAAGCTGACAGAATGGACACATAAATAATTCTGTACCTAACAATGACCTTCAAGGTTAAACACACAAAACTGTCCTCATGCTAATCCACAAAGCAATTCTAAACACATTCAAAAGTCAAAATTCTACAAAGAGTTTTCTGTGCCAAAAGTGGGATTAAGCTAGAAATTACTGCCTTTAACAAAAACAACAAAAACTAAAACATCCACATGTATCTGGAAATTAAACACTGTGCTTCTAAGTAAACCTTGAGTC